TTTTTTAAAGAAGTCTCTTATGCTCATCAAGGCTGCATTTATTTGATCAAAAATACAGAAAAAACAGTAATCTTGCAAAATGTTATTAAAATAATGGTTTCTATTTTAATATCCTTTAAAATAATTTATTTCTGTAATGCAAAGCTGAATTTAAATCAGCCATTACTCCAGTATAATGTGTCACATGCTCCTTAAGAAATCATTTTAATATGCTGATTTATTATTAGAATTATCAATGTTGGCAACCGTTGTGCTGCCAGATATTTTTTTTGGAAACTGCGACACTTTTTTCAGGATTCTTTGATGAATAAAAAGTTCAAAAGAACAGCATTTATTCAAAATATAAGTATTTTCTAACGATATAAATCTTTGCTATCACTTAACAATTTAAAACATCCTTGCTGAATAAAAGTGTTAATTTCTTTCAAAAAAAGAAAGAATACAAATTTGCTGACCCCAAACTTTTTAACTGTAGTGGATTAAAATAGAAAAACATTATTTTACATAATATTTCACTATTATATTTTATATAAAATATAATATTGTTCCTCTGCGGTTCGGCAGAGGCAACGGAGCTCCGCCCCCCTGGAGGAAACGGAGCCTGGCCCGCAGCTCAGAGATGGTCATCTTCCCGCAATGGGAACATGACTCATCCACGAATATTTTTGTACTATATACTACTGTAATGAAATTTGGCCAATTTATTTATGTATGCAATCAACACTATACTGTATTATGTTACATACCTATTTGATATTTAGTTCTTTTGTTTTTGAACTTTACTTCTCTTGTAAGATCATCTACTACATCTACTGTAAGATCGCTTGCAGTAGTGTAATGAAAATTGATGTTTCATAAAGCTTATTGTCAGACTCTGTTCCATGTTTCGTGTGTGTCCTGCTCCCCATGTGCCTTCCCATGCCCTTATTTGGTTTGTTTCCTGTTCCTCCCCTGATTAATTAAGTTGATTTCTTCCCAGGTGTTTCCCTTGATGTGTCATGGCTCCCAGGTGTGTCTCGTCATCCCCTCCTCCTGTGTGTGTGTATATAAAGTGTTCCCAGCCCCTAATTCTCTGTCCGATGTTGAAGGTCTTCCTGAGTTCGTCTCCCTTGTTTGATTTTGACATGGAAGTTTGTACAAGTTTGTTTGTCATGAGAATGTGTTTATAGTTCTGACAAAGTGGTGAATTGTTTCATAAATTGTGTGTTAGTAATCGAGAAAAACTAAGACAGCATTTAGGAAAATTTAAACAATTGGAAAATCTTTGGGATAAGCAATGTACACTGATTATATAAAACTATACTGTCAGTACATCATAGTTAAATGAAATTGTTATATACATTTATTTCTGTTCAAAAGTGCGGAAATAAATGTTTCTAAATAAACTTCAAATAGGCCTATTCCTTATCCTGTGGCTCTCTCTAGTGGACAACATTAATATCACAGCTTTTAGCCTCAGGTTATGTTATCACATAGGCTTTGATAATAAAATAAACAGCATAATATATTTTTTTTTTCTTTGAGCACTCATTATAATTCACTTTTCAAGCAATATCACCTAAAAATCAATTGAAAATCATGTAAGCCTATTCAGTGACTAACATGGAGCGTCCAAATATATTCACAGTTACAGTTTAAATAAAATAATACAATATAATAATATAGGTTAATGTTAATCGGAACACATATGAACTTACTGGTAATAGTTAATACAACACGTCTCTAAAGAAAAAAATAATTCACTACAGTAGACCATTTCTGAAAACTAGATACTTGTATGATCAGCAGATGTCTATTATTTCAGAATTCAGGTTTTGTTTTTTGTTTTTTCATGTCATACAGCTGCTTATTACAAGAGCAGTTTGTTGTAGGCTACTCTACATGTTCATATTAAGAGCCTATATATTGATAAATGATTAATAAATGTTTATACATAGGCCTATTTGGAAATGTTTTGAAACTGGTCTACCCAGTTTGACACATTTTCAAAAAAAAAAAAAAAAACCAAAAAAAAAAAAAAGTACAAAATAGTGAGGGGATATTTGTATTATTTGTTAGTAAACCAATGTTTTCTGAGTCAATGTTGCAAAAATGTATTTGACCAACCTGACTCGCCATCTCCTCATTTGACGTGCCTTTAGAGAGAAATTAATCTTTAGGGATTAACTAATGAAAGAGGTTTTGTTTTCGATTTAAATTATTTCGTTTTAAAATAGTAATTTAAAGCTAAAAAAATTTAAGTGATCGAGTTGGCGCCTTCATGTCCTCCAAAGCGCGCTTTAGCTTCCACTCTCAGCGCAAACGATTGGATATGTGCCTAACAGCGCTCATTTATCTGGGTTAAAATGTTTAAATTAATACTGTGAAATGCATGAAGTGTTTTATGTCTGTTTATTTTAGGC